CAAGCGGCAGAGATGGAGCAGGCCGACCACCAGCTGGCCCAGCCCAAGGGAGGTAAGGCACCCGCCGGAAAAGGGGAAAAAATGGCGGACAAAAAAAATGGCGGACAAAAAAAATGGCGGACAGCCTTGCTTGGCGACCCCCGTGAAATGGTCGATCGACCCCAAATGGGGTCCCGACCCACAGGTTGAGAACCACTGTGCTAATGCCATTAAAGAAGCTCTTGGTTCACATTATGCCTGTTGAACTATTATTTGAATCCAAGGATTTAACACTGGCGATGAAGGTGGGATCTTCTTACAACAATTTAACAGAGTAAGAAGGACCTCAGGGAATCCTTGGAGAGGAAGACGGCGTCAAATTGCACTTGGCCTGCCAGTAAGAATCGCTGGAGGTAAGCTGGCTAAAAGACCCCTTCCTGAAAAGAGTGCATGATGGCAAAGATAGGAAGGCTGCCTGAGTTTGATGTGGGCCATCCTGAAAAGTGGGAGACTTATGTGGCCAGAGCAGAAACCTATTTCAGAGTCAACCAAGTAAGGGAAGATGGTTTAAAGGCTGCAACTTTACTTTGTGTGTGTGGACAAGATGTTTTTGAAATTGCAGAGAACTTAGCAGCTCCTGCTCCACTATGACTTATACAGATTTGAAGAATTTATTGAGGGAGCATTTTCAACCAGAGATGTCCATCATTGCATGGAGACACAAATTTGAGCAGAGGGATCAGAAAGTAGGAGAATCTGCCAAACAGTTTATTGCTGCTTTAAGGAGAGCTGCTAAACAGTGTGAATTTAAGGACTTAGATGAAAGGCTAAGGGACCGTTTTGTGTGTGGACTGAGAAACAGAGGCCTGCAACAAAAATTGTTTGCCAGAAAAGATTTGTCTTTCCAAGATGCTGTAAGAGAAGTAACAGCTGAAGAGGCAGCTGGGGGTGCAGTCAAGCACATGCGGCCTAACAAGCCGGATGCAGAAGATGAAGCCTCTGTGCATTTGGAAGAAGCACAGGAAGCCTCTCAGGATGAATCAGAAGGAGATGAGGAAGTGGATCGCCTTGTTCCTTCTAAAGAAGAAAAAAAGACAAGGAAGCCAAAGGAACTCAAATGTTTCGGGTGTGGTGGTCACCACAAGAGGGCTGACTGCAGGTTCCGCACAGCTGTCTGNGCCGTTTGCCTAAGACGTGGAAAGGTAAAGTATCAAGAAGAATTGCACCAGAAAAACACTAAGGTCCCTAGTCAGAATAGAGTAGGCTTCTGCGCATCGCGCAGAAGTGTTTATAGAACAGGCACACATAGACCACTTAAAAAGAAGTTGTCTCTTAAGGTGAAGCTGCAGGGAGTGCCATTAGTTATGGAGCTGGATACGGGATCCGCCCTGTCCATTATTTCATTGCATACTTTCAGGAAAATCTGCACTAGCAGTGGAGTTCAGGTGAGGCTAAGGCCTTCCAATATCGTACTAACTGATTTCCAAAACTCTAGAGTATGCGTTAAGGGGGAGGCCACCCTTTCTGTACAGTATAAGAGTTTTGTGGGTCCTTTGGATGTTCTGGTTGTTGGGGGTGAAAGAACGAGTCTGATAGGACTTGATTGGTTCGAGGCCTTGGGAATTCAAGTCACTGGCTTACATAGCCTGCAAACATTAAGCCTTACAGGAGTATGTGAGGAGTTTGCAGATGTGTTTATTTCACAGCTTGGATCTTACCAAGGACCTCCTGTTTCTTTGAAACTTGACCCCAACATCACACCCATCACACCCATTCGAGTTAAGGCCAGGAGAGTGCCCTTCACTCTGAAAGGCAAAATTGATGCTGAATTGGATAAGCTAATCCAACAAGGCATTTTAGAACCTGTAGACTCGAGACCATGGGAAACCCCCATTGTTACGCCTCTTAAGGCTAATGGGGATATACGTATTTGTGCTGATTACAAATGCACCATCAATAAGGCACTACAGCAGCACGCTTATCCTGTCCCTGTAGTGGGGCATATTCTGGCTTCTCTTAAGGGAGGAAAGTTTTTCACAAAGCTAGATTTGGCTCAAGCGTACCAACAGTTACCTGTTGATGAAGCAGCTGCTGAGGCACAGACCATTGTGACACACAGGGGTGCTTTCAAAGTGAAGAGGCTCCAGTTTGGAGTAAATGTAGCACCCGGTATTTTTCAGAGTGTGATGGAAAACACATTAAGGGGCATTCCTGGGGTTTGCCCTTATTTCGATGATGTTCTCATTGCTGGGGATTCTGTGCATAATCTGGCAGAAAGATTGAGGGCTGTTCTGCTGAGGTTTAGGAAGGCAGGGTTAAAGCTTAAAAGGAACAAATGCAAGATAGGAGTCACGTCCATTGACTTTTTGGGATTCAGAATAGATGCGCAAGGCATTCACCCTGCTGAATCAAAGCTGAAGGCCATCCAGGAGGCTCCCCATCCCAAGTCAAAAGGCGAATTGCAAGCCTTTTTAGTCCTTTTGAATTTTTATAATGCCTTCCTTCCTCACAAGGCTGCTGTGGCTGAGCCTTTACATAGACTATTGGACAAACAGGCAGTCTGGCAGTGGACCAAGGCTCACGATCAGAGTTTTGCTGGGGTCAAGGCCTTGCTCACGTCCAATAACGTGCTTGCTCATTTTGATGAGAGACTTCCTGTTTGCATCACTTGTGATGCTTCCCCTTATGGGGTGGGTGCTGTTTTGAGTCACTTGAAGGCTGATGTAACTCAGGTTCCAGTTGCTTATTACTCCAGAACTCTTTCTTCTGCTGAGCGTAACTACGCTCAAATTGATAGGGAGGCTTTGGCTATCATTGCGGGTATTAAGAAATTCTATGATTTCGTATATGGTAGGCATTTCACGGTCTATACTGACCATAAGCCTTTGCTAGGGCTGTTTACTACAAATAGGCAGACACCTCAAATCATTTCTCCGCGCATGTTGCGGTGGTCTATTTTTTTGTCTGCCTATGATTTTTCCTTAGTTCACAACCTGGAAAAGAGATGGGCCATGCGGATGGCCTAAGTAGGCTACCCCTGCCAGATGTGGAGGCTGACCCCGCTCCTGCCATAACATCCTTTCTATTCAGGAGTTGCCGGAATCTCCCTTGAATGCCCAGGATGTAGCTGCTGAAACTGCCTCTGACTCCACGCTTACACGCGTACTGTCTTGGGTACTATCTGGGTGGCCTGATAGGTGCCCTGATACTGAGTTTCAAAGTTATTGGTACAAGAGGCACGAGCTATCCACCTTTAAGAGTTGCCTATTGTGGGGCAGCTGCGTAGTCATTCCTACCTCGTTAAGGTCTAGGGTCCTGATCTCCCTTCATGAAGGTCATCCTGGCATTGTCCGGATGAAGGCTCTTGCCCGTAGTCACTTATGGTGGCCAAGGTTAGATAGGGACATAGAGGCACATGTACATGGGTGTCACTTGTGCCAGCGCTCAAGGCCAGAGATGCCCCAGGCTCCTGTGCACAAGTGGGAAGAAACGCTTATGCCGTGGTCCCGTGTATACGTAGACTATGCGGGACCATTTCAGGGGCAATTCTTCTTGGTCCTTGTGGACAGCCATTCTAAATGGCTGGAGGTCATACCTGTATCATCCACCACTACTGGCAGAACCATCCAGGTGTTGAGGGGCATTTTTGCAGCTCACGGCTTGCCAGATGTCTTAGTTTCAGACAACGGCCCGCAGTTCACGTCGGCTGAGTTCCAGGCTTTCCTTCAAGCAAATATGATCCGGCATGCGACATCGGCACCTTTCCACCCTTCCACCAACGGTATGGCCGAACGGATGGTGTGCGTCACCAAGGACGCCCTGAAGAAGCTGACTTATGGGGATTGGCATCATCGGTTGGCTGATTTCCTTCTTGCTCATCGCACGACGCCTTCTGTAGCGACTGGGAAAAGTCCGGCTGAACTATGATGGGGTTGTCGACTGACCACTAAATTGGACAGGTTGCATCCTGATCGGTTGGTTCCTTTGGAGTCTCCAACTAGGGCCCCGCGGTGTTTGACCGTGGGCATGCCGGTGTGGTCCCGGAACTATGGCCCTGGCCACCCTTGGGTTCCTGCTGTTGTATGCAAGGTGACTGGACCGCTGTCATATGAGGTCTCCGTAGAGGGCGGCCGCGTCCTGAGACGACACATCGATCAGCTTCGCCAAAGACCGGACTCTTCTCCCCCTTCGCCTGGGTCTTCTGTGGGGGGGAGGGGACCTGGAGGGAACAGGGGAAGGTTTGTCCCAAGGTTCCGCAAGTGTGCCCAACGGAATTTCATGGGAGAATAACCCAGAACAACCTGCAACACACATTCCAGATAGTGCCCAAGGAGGTTTGGTCAGTAGGTCCAGGTGGAAGTCTGCAGTTGGAACAGAAGCTGGAAGGGATGTTCATGACCCTTTTTCAGCCAACGCACAACATGGGGTGGTTGGTCCTTGGGGCATCGAGGACACAGGATACAGTTCGGCCTTGGTAGGTGGCAGCGGAACATTAGACTTCCAAGATCGGTCCATTGTGGACCTGGAAAATTCCACAGCACTCAGGAGTGGGGAACGGGACCCTGACAGACCGGGTAGAACGGTCAAAGAGGGTGAGCCACCTTGTGGCAGAAAAGGAAGTCCTGGGTTGAGTAGCCCGATGGACAAGCTAGCAGGCCAGGCCCCTGTAGTTAAGTCACCGGGACCACCAGGGTGTAGAAGAGGGGTTGTTCCCGTCGCACATGAGGCTCATGGCAATCGAGAATGTTCCCCGGAGCTGAGGAGATCACAAAAAGAAAAAAGGTCCCCAAGATATTTGGAGGATTTTGTAAGGTTGTTGTCAACCTGTTAGTACACCGGGTAGCTGGGTGATAGCACGGTACCGTTTGTATCACCTGAGCCACCCTAGCGCAGTTATAGGTCTTTTTAGGCCTCACGCCCAATCAGAGGTCGCGGGCTTAATACATGTGAGCGCATGGGCCCAAATAAGTTTAATCCGGGGGTGAAGGGGTGTTGTGTCCCGGGACTTGCAGCAAGCAAGCCCGGGCGGTCGCCATGGCAACGGGCTGCAGAAGCTGCCCGGGGCCAGACAAACTGGTGACAGCTTGTGCGCATGCGCAAGGAAGCGCGCGCGCTCTGTAACAAGTTTACCCGGACCGTCCTTGTTCGTTCGTTGCTGGTTGTAAGCAGAGGAAGAAGCTGGAGGCCTGTGAGTCTCCGTTTTACTGCATGAATCTGCTAATGCCATTAAAAAAGCTCTTGGTTCACATTATGCCTGTTGAACTATTATTTGAATCCAAGGATTTAACAGAAATGTAGTCTGGCTTCCCAGGAGGTACTTGTTTTTGGAATGAGGGATGCTGGGAAGATGACCCTTAAAAGGCCAATAAAGATTCATGTTTGACAACTAGGTGGAGCTCAAGATACATTAAAGAACAACAATAGCAATTAAAAATACATAATTACATGCACAAACTTTATGCTGGAGGCGTATATTGTGCATAAGCTCCTGTGCAGCATGAGAGTCAGCTTTCTCTTCTACATATAAAGTAGATGTCATACCAATTGTATTCTTGATGCCAGTAAATGTCTTGAAAAGAAAAGGTACATGTAGCTGTTCTGCTTATTCCTGTGTAAGAAGGTAAGCACAAGATCTTTGAGCAGTTTCTATCTCAAATACTTTCTGCCTGAAGCATATGAGGGAAGCACTGCCATTTAGTTGAAGGTGATATATGAAGTTATGTCCTTTTCTGAAGCTACTGGTTACTGCAACTTTCACATTTCACGGTTCACTAAACAAAGATTAGTTTGTTATCCAATCTCAAAAATTCTGTTCACCTGGCTTGAATTAGGAATCTTCCACATGTACCTTCCACATATTCCCAACGCAACAAAGATCTGAAACAAAAGTTATCTTCCGATTTAAGTGATCTCACACAAAGCTACTTGCAAATTACTCACATGGAGATATGGATGGTGTCTCCATACCTTCATTAAGTTGCAGTGATACTTCTACTGCTCTGTGATGGAAAAGAAGGAAGTTCACAGAAGACTGGATGATCACAACTATTTTTTCCACCAAACACTTTCTATTTCCACAATATATTTTCCCTAGAAAAAAAGCAACTGTCTCTGTGCTTCAGGAAGTGCCTACAGTCAGTGCTCAAAAGATGCTGTCAAGTTTCTGCCTTTGGACTTCCTTCCATGATCCCTCCCAACTGCCTTTTCCTGTGATATACAGTATACTGACACCTGTGACAGAAGGAGGCAATGAAGAGTGGTAAGTCAGCTTCTGTGGTATGCAAGGCTTCTCTACTTAACCTGAACCTGCATTGTTATGCTTTATTTCATTATTTTTGCATTTATTAATTCACAAACTATGCTGCATAGTGCTGCACATTTTATTTACAAAGCCTAAATCATGTGCATATTATCATTATTCATATAATACTTCTATAAAGAAGTAATCTTAGAACCCAATATTTTAAGCATGGATTAAATTGAAAGGATGATTCAACTCCAGCTTTCTCAAACTGAATTCCCCCTATGGATACTCTGGACAGCTCTAATGGAAAATTAGTCTACTTTATTGATTTCAAGTATTTGCACTGACTAATCAGTTGCAAAATGGTTTTACAATGGCATGGCCCCTAATTGTATTTAATGGAGATGGTCTATAATTACCCAAGTCTTTGCTTAGATGCTGAATTCTTGCAAGAATCGGTTCAGTGGATGCGAAGGGCTTCCCTAAGAGTATGAATTTAGACCTGGTGGTAGAAGTGCCTCTAAGGGAGCTGGAATTTTATTCATCATCAGCCAATTTGCCATAGCAACAGTCAGAGCCGAGAGCTAGTACCACCCACCAGCCTCTTCTGTACTTAAGTGATTCATTTCTTGGATTCTGCATGAACTATGAAGGAATGATGAGAGGAAGGAGCCGATCAAAAAAAATCCATTCTGATGAAATTAAAGACACCTAAGCAGCTGGCTTATTTTACCAGATTGAGTAATGCTGGCCTATGAGGAAAGCAAGATCCTGGCTCACCCCCATTTTTTCCTGTGTTGTTTTGATTATGCTTGGATTTCTCTGACTGTATCTCTTAAGAAGTTGAAAAACCCCACTGTTTGCCTTTTTACATGCATTTGACATTAGAAATAAAAAAAATTCTGAACTCATTTTTAAATCTCCAGCTACCATAATTTCATTTCTATACTACAGATATGTGCTTTGGTGATATGCGAATTTAACACAGAGCAAAGCTTTGGGCAGAATGTTGGCAGAATATATACAGTCTTCAAAAGAATGAAGATTCTGGAATAATATAATGGCAATATTCAAGAAACATTGGGAAAGGTTATTGTGCTTACTTCAGCCATTTCCAATTGTGTGAATATACAGTGTATACTGTATGTATGCATTTCCCTTACAGATAAAACTGTTTCTTTTCCCTTACAGATAAAACTGATAAGAGGCACATATCACTTTATAACTGAATCATCATATTCATGAATGAAAAATACTTAAGAAATATGATTGAGCATCCTGGTTTATATAGAAAGAGTCTCCTTACCTTCTGTAAAAAATAAGGATTGGTTTGACTAGATCACTGCATCATTATAAACTATACTGTGGAGACAATTTAGGACAGGAATAGAAAGCTCATTTTTTTGTTAGGGCAGATCTTTTGCAATTAGGAGCTTATACCACAGTTAAGCAGGTCAGAATTACAGGAGGTTAAGACTGAGGGTAGGAGTATCTGGGGACAGTACTAATGAATTCCTTTCTTTTTTTTCCTCTGCTCTTTCTTTTCTTTTCCTTTCTTTCCCATACCTCTGTCTTTCTTTCCATTTTCCCCACCAAAAATCCTTTACACAAAGCAACTGGCTTCCATGAAAAATCCAATTCACATGAAATGGAACCTTATTTGATAGCATGAACTCTTTTCTTCATTAACTGCATCCTGTTTCTGAAAACTGTTATAGCACACATTTATTCTATACATTTATTAGACTTGAAGAGAGGGTTCTAGGCGTTTTGCTGTGTGGGATTTTTGGAGTAAATAGCAGGAAATGGGTGGGTGGCCTAATCCCCCTTCTCAGGAGTCACCCTCCAAAGTTATGTCTCCCCAAAGAAACAAAATAACCCCCCTACATTGTTGGAAAGGGATCAGTTTTTTTTATCTAGTCTAGTGGACTATGAGAATGGAACAAAAATGAAGCAGACTATACATAGATCATAGCCAGCCATGAATTAAAAAATCCATTTGGATGCTATGGTTATGGATTGTATTCTACTCTGTGATCTTTTGTCTTTCTCTTCTTATGTCTCATTATTATGAAATATTATTTATAATACTTCTTCAAATACAATATATTAGAGAACAGTCCCAAAAGAAATATATAACGTATATACAACTGTGTCTCTGCCAGCCATAAAATATCTTTCCTCCTATATTGAATTATTAGTGTGACATTGTACTCTTTCTTAAAATAAATTGGTTACATTTGTAGCACTTTGTATATCTCAAAACTATATCCTGCATCCTTGACTGGCCATGTGGTTGGGATTTTTGGAAGTTACTAGCTTTACTTTTTGGCTGGCAACAGGTCCCTTGTGTCTTAAAGCATTTCTAGGTTTTATTCCAATTTTCCATGGAGACAATAACAGCTATTTATTTTCCTGTCAACACTTTTCTTGCAAAGAGAATATCTTTGACTTAAAATTATTCATAAAGCTAGAAGACAAAAACAAAATTATTTTTCTACCTTTCATACTTTTCTTTGCACCTATCTTTAATTCTTTCTCTATAGAAATATGTATTCATACTGTGCAATGCCCATTATTTTGACAGCAGCAACAAGATGTTCTGTAGTTCAATGGCAGAGCACATGATTTCTATCCAAAAAATCCTCTATCCCTGCAACTTCAATTAATTACGAAGACTCTT